GAATATGATTGAAAAAACTTTAGGTAATGTATGAGGGTTGACATTTTTCGAGCTTAGCCCTTAAAGCCTCCTTTTGAACATGTGACACAGCACCTCCAGGATTGGTATACTAAATGTACATACTAAATGTTGAGACCGAAAAAAACACCGTGATTCCACCGAATCTTGGGGGGGGGGGTTTGTTTTTGTTTGTGGGGCGAAAACTAACCACGTACAAATTTGAAAAATAGTCATACTAATTCATACTAATTGCATACTAAATATTAGCACAAAAAAAAAATGAAAATCGTATGGAGGGGTGCTGGGGTAACGTACGTAAACTCAACTTAGTATTATTTTCCATACTGAATCAGTCGTAAATTTGGTTCTACCTGTGCGTTGTGCCCATACATACAGATTTTATTGCGGCGAGAGTTTGGAAACATAAAAAAAACGACAGAATTCTTCGGTTTTTTTTAAACACGCTCCTCGTTGCAGATTTAAAGCTTACATATTATAGTAACATAATTAGATAAGTACAGTCTCGTGTGTCGCCCTCTGCCAAGTCCGTATGACTCGTATATTACGACGGTAGGTACGTATATAGTGAATTATAAATGTCAAGCGACGCGTGTCGTACCTATATCTAATATACTTACCACTGTTACATATTATTATGTTATCATTATATTATGCGATTTATGTACAACATAAGATGACTCAAATTTCTAGTCACGTGATCGCATGGTCGACCTCAATACATCATAATAACATTATGACTTCAACAATGTTCGCACTTCGTCTCCATCACGGTTTCCGGTTTGTAAACTTAATTTTTTTGCAGATTTATACTCGCGAAATTCCAATGGAAAAACAAATGTCTTATACGTTTTAAAAAAAAGACACCACATTTTGTATTACATAGATACATAATAATATAATATAATATTAATTTAATAATTATATGCATGTAGAAATACATATTATATAGGTTATATATGTATATATTTTACATATAGGTAACATAAAATATAATAAATTACGTAATATAGGTTTTGTTACAAAGTATTTCACCAAACATATTCACCCCCTGCATTTTTTCCTTCAAATATTCAAATATTCAAAATATGATTTTTTGAGATATTCAAGTAGGTATTATTTATTACGTCTTATGGACCATATTTCAAGTAATTATATTTTTAATATAATTTAAAGAGTGTTTATTGTGGTGATACAAACTTCTTTTTACAAACAAGAACCACCTCTTTTATCTCAAATTATAAGGCGAAGATTTTTTGGAATCAATATTCAAACAAGTAGTTCTGAGACTTTATAGTTATTAAGGACTTAATTGTATCTGAGCTGACTCTCATGGGAACATGAAATAGTCAGACTTCATAATTATTTCAATAATTTTAAAGATGAAGATTGTATACAGGTTGTATTGGATACTGATTTTATAAACTGTATTTTAAATATATCATATCATAATATACACTATTTTTAAATATTTTTCAACAAAATATGGCTCCTCACGATTATGCCTATTATAGAATATTCAGATTTTAATATATACATTTTTTGTTTGTGAAAAAAGAAAATTATATTTAGTTCACATTAGTCTCTAATTTTATAATTACATCAAAAAATTACGATTCAAATTAATAAAAAAATTGTAATTATTTAGACGTTTAATAGGAAGACGGTGACGCACAGTGGGAAATTACAGAAATAAAACAAATTAAATAAACCTGGCCAAAATATAAAAATTAATCAAAAATTGAATTTTTCTTTTTTCTCTGTGATGACTGATATTTAGATTTAAACACACTAATAAAGTATAACAATAATTTATTCAATGAATGTTCGGCCTCCAAGCATTTTGTTTTTGTGACTAAACGATTCTTTAAATGGTCAAATCGTACAGAAAATTATTTAGCATCGACTTCTTGAATTATATTGAATAAAATTCTCCTACTCATAGACATATGATTATCACCAGATTCTAAAATATTATCACAAAGTTAAAATACCAACTACGGTTTGAATAATCGAATAAATAAAATTTCAACGCGTTTAATCAAATTTACTAGAATCAAAAGTAATTTAAACGAAAAGGCACAAAAGTATGAGTACATTTTTTTTAAACATTTTGAAACTGCAATTACATGCACTAAAAAAATAAAAGATTTTCTGGACTCAGACCATCCCGGAAGTCTACTAAAAATAATGGTGAAGTTTGTATTTATATATTTTGTTTTAATCCATGTAATATTAGTTGAACTGTAAACTGGTTTGATATTTTACAAAGCTATATACATAATGTACAGCTATGTACATAAGTAAATTATATATCAGGTAACGAGTCCATTATTTTAAATGTAAAACTGACTATAGAAAACAATATATCAGCTAAGTACTAGAAAAACTTTGTGTAAACAGTAATACCGACGACGTGCATGACGCATCAGTAATATCATACTTTAAGGGATTATCTCAACAAAACAGGTCCCCACATACTGCAGCGGTGGAGGTAGCGGTTACGGCAAAATGAGTCCGGACACAATTTTACCTCCACCGCGGCGGCACCGCCAAGACAAAAGAATTTTACAGCCACCGCTGCAGTGTGTGGCGTCCTTATACTATTATCGACGTCGAATATATTATTAATTATTGCTTTTATGTTAACTCTATTTAAACTATCAACAATTGTTATTCTTAGTTACATTTCTAATTTTGGCCAGGTTTTTGTACAATTATCCCACTGTGGGACCGTACAACAACTGAAAAATAGTTAATAGACTCGGAGACACCTGCAGTATAAAAATTCTTCATCTTCCACTAGAGGGTTAAAGAGGGTTACTATCGTATTCGTCTCTCTCTATCTCTCTCGTAAGATGTAACCCACCAAATTCACCTACCATCTAGAATTTTCTCCATATTATATACTATATTAACGTCATATAATTTTCAGTTTCATTTCCCAATATATCCTTCTCAGCCTTATTGACTTAACTTGTACGGCCATGGTCCATACTATAGAAGCACTATTGTTACACCAGTTTTTTTTTTACTATCCTTCTTTCTCTGTATACCATAACCTTATAGTACCTATAATATATATATAAATATTATATATTATATAAAATTAACTATTCAATGTTAACCTGTTTATACATGCATATCCGATAGATTCATCCGCGTCCAGCGACACTTATGTCTTATACTCTTTGCAGTTCATAATTCATTATTATTGCCAATTAATTCTCATCGTTTAACTATAATCATAGGTAAAACAAAATAATATTGAAAGGAAAAAGATTGGATATAGTGTCATATAGGGAAAAGAGAGAGATATAATATTGTATTAAATATACAGTATAGGACACAGGTATTGTTGTGTTGTTTGTAATTAAATTAAAAACATATAGTCATGAAGTATTTTGCAGGTATTTCATACGGTTCAGTATTTTATTGATCTCGTATCTACGTTTGGGATACATATTTTATATTTGTTCAACATTTATATCATAAGTACAAGTCTTAATAATTATATTTATACAATTACGATACTATACCTTTGGTAGGTTATCAATTATTATATATTAATATATACGATAATAATAATATCCGAGTAAATATCATATAATATTACATAGGAACCTACTCTAACATTGCACATTAACACACGATTCTAACATTTTACAAAGTGTAATAATAATAATAATAATATAATAATATAAAATGAAATATCTTATGTAAATTATGAAATACATTTAAACGGATTCGTTAAAAAGTGTATACAAATAAAAAAAGAACACTACTAAATTATTATTATTATATATATATATATATATATATATATAATATATATAGTGAGTAATGTGAGTATTACTATTAGAATTATTATAATAATAATTTAACATAATATTGTAATATTATGAGTATAGATCATTAGGACATGAATATATATATATATATATATTTTAATCTATATATTTTGTTCACTTTTATACAGAGTGCCTCCAGTTAGTTTTGTGATCGTCCTACTTTTGTGAAATAATAAATATAATAGGTATGATATGTATACCAAACATACTTCTATAACATATTTGCGGCATAAAATAAAATGTGTATCTATTTATTTATTATTTATCTATTTTTTTTTTCATTTAATTTTCCAATCATTCTGGAGGCCGAGGATCGTAAGAAAAAAGTTTTGACATGCTTGTTGGATATAGTAAAAATCAAAAATTATGCATTTGAAAAGTTGTTGAGTTATATTGACCAAGATGTCAGAAGGGTCGAGACACCCATGTGCTAGCTATGTATAATAAAGAATTATAGCGTTTGAAAAAAATTATAGATTTTTTAAAATTCAGATATATTCTGTATTTTTTGATATCGTTTTTGGTAATTTAGTCAAATTTGTATTATTATTCATAAACGAGCAGTATAATTTATATCTTGTATAATAATCAGTTGCTAGTAATACAATATAAGTATGTATAGTAATTTAATTTAAATATATTTAGTTGGAAAATATAACTGCCAATAACCCAGATTTTGGGATACCCGCTAAATGAAAATCTGGTGATCATATTAATTACTAGCACTATATATAATATACCTATTGCTTATAATTTGTAAATACCTTCTAGTTACGCTACTTCAAACAACACGGTTTATATAATTATAATACACACGTTTTTTCAAAACAAAATTATTCAATATTCCGTTTATCGTCGTGATCTTAATTTCATATTAATAATAATTAATAACTATTATCGTAATATATCATATTATCGTCTTTAAATAATTGTTCTGTGTAAATAGACATACCCGAGACTAATTATTTTAGGTGTTTAAGAACATAGAAAATGGTGTTACACATTTGCTGAGGTGTTGACTGTTGGGTATAACTATTAATATTTTTTATATACGTAAAAACCACTTATTCAATATTAACAAAGGAAGAATGATATTTTACCGAAATTTAACAAACATTCTCATCAAAAAATTTAAAACCAATATAGATCTTTGGACGTCTCTTGTACTTGAGCTTCTAGACCTGCAATCACAAAAAATAAACAAATTACAAAAAACTGCTATTCATAACTTCATAAGTCATAAAATCGTCAGCAATATCATTGCGGGAATTGAACATTTATGACAGTAAGTATTATTGTTTTTTAAAAAAAAAACCCAAAACATATTATCAACACACACTTGACACAAAGTAAATAAATTAGAAATATAATTAATATATTATATTGTATAATATAAACAATACATTTCTACAAGTCAAGTAAAATGTAACAGTATTTTCCCATAAAGCATTTATAGACTTAATTTTTTTTATGAAGTATTTTTCGAACGTTTTTTAAATTTATGTTCTACTACTGTCAGCTGGAAAAAAAGTTATTTTTTACGGAGGAAATATTTCTAAGTGCATATGTGTCTTCATTTTTTTTCTTACATGTATATACGTACGTGGTGGGAGGAGGTCGAGTCGTACGATATACAAGTAACAATAATAATAATATATGCCTTCATCTTTGGCCTCTATTAAATATTGTAAAATAATACGAGATGAAATGAAAATACAAAAACAAATATTTAGAAAAAATCGTATTTTATTAAATGTGTATTATTTTTTAGATAACTGACATTCGCTTCGACACATTTCTGCTTACGTGAAATGTCAGTTTTCCACTTCGTCCATATATTATACGAAGAATTTAGTCGATTGATTTTTTTTTTCATCCAAACAACTCACAGTTGTATTATTCGTACTTATATTAAAAAAAAAAAAAAAACTATGAGTAATATACGGCGGGCTGTCGAACTGTCATATAATCTGATATATATATTTTTTTATTTCTCAAAGTTATTAATTTATATTTGCCGCTAATAATTCAGTGTTTTCATTTAAATTACTTACATTTTATTTTGTATTTCGTTTTGCATTTTTCGACTGTGATTTATAGTCTCGTATTGTGTGTGTGTGTTTATATATATTTTAATGTGAGGAATAATTATAAATACACCTGTTATATACCAAACAGCGTTGGTATTGAAATTTGGCTATAGACACGGAATTTGATTACTATATAAACTAATGCGTGATAAGTGCCAAGAGAATATAAAGATAAATAGCGATTCGCACATTACGCAGCGGTTCTGCCAACCAAATTTGTAAATTTATTGATTGGGATAGTACAATTGATCGGTGGAATTTTAATACGATTATGCCGATAGGTTAAACCGATAATTATTGCTACAATATTATTGTAATATACCAGCTAGCTAACACACAACAAAACTTTATTTGGACACATAAGATATTAAACTAAAAATAGGCAGGTAACAATAAAAAAACAATACAAATTCACTGAATAATTGTTATTTATATATTATGACTATATAAGTGTAATATAAATTATTTTTTTCGATAGCCAAATTTTTGATTTTAATTTGTTTTACAAGTATGTATAACTTTATGTAGTAATTTATGACTCCTATTAGGGATTGTCGTGAATATTTTTTATGGCGTTTTTTTATAACTTCTTTGGTTATTAATTTATTATTATATAATAGGCAATATCGAATAGGTATGTATGTAATAATGTCTCGGTGAACGGGCTCGACGCAAAACTATACTAACCTACCTATGGGTGTTACAATACTTGAAGTTTAAAAGTTGTGTTTTAATATTATGACGTATAATTTCTACGCACTGGTAGAACAATAAAAAATTGTTTAAATGTATTTTTTTTTTTTTTGTTAAAAATTAATTTTATATTAAGTACGTATAGTCCGCTGAGTCATGGCCAAAAACATTAATTTACTATTTGCCAATTTTTGGAAAAATTAAAATCAGTGATTATAACAGTTTTAAATTTTTATCATACAAATTATTATTTGTTATTTTATAACACAGTCACACAAATACATTCATTTAATATGATATAAGTTTGTATAGCTACCAGCTTACAATAAACAAGTAGTTTAATGAGAAACCCAATCTTATAATATATTATTTTTAAGTGCAGCATAGTTACAGGGTACTATACGCCTATACCTAACTACTCATTTAGTTTAAATTTATTTAATGTAGGTACTTTAATTTTAAATAATTGTGTAACTATATTATTTTACATTAAGGGGACTCCAGTTAGTTTTGTTAAAAATTAAAACTAATGTAGATTTGACCAATCTAAACATACATTTCGTTTATTTTAACATTTTTAAATTTTTAAAACCGATTTTCATTGATTACCAAGCTTACTAGTTTTCCATCGAGGCGACTTTGAATATCTATTTTTTCAGTTGTGATATCCATGAATAAAAACATGTTTTTTATGTATTTATATTAACAGATTAATATACATTATGAAACTAGCAATAATTGGAATATTAAAAATCGCCTAGACGAATACCTAGTAAACTTGTTAATCAATCATAATCCGTTTTCAAAATTTAAATCGGTCCAACCAAATTCCCCCTGTTTTGTCTGGCTGTTTGGTCTAAAAAACCACTTTTTTTCATCCACTGGAGACCCCTTAGAGAGCAGTAAAAATGTTAACAAAAAATCAAAATTCAATAAACCTTTAATGAAACTATATAAACTCATAAAACAATCGACGACAATGATAAAAATATAGGTATAACGCGTAGTATGCGTATATTATACCTACAGTATACCTGCAAATATTTTAGTTCGTTTGTGGTACAATGTGATGGACTGTATATAGCGAAACCTATATTATATTATATAATATTACAATTCATTAAATCATTAGGTAGGTATACTAACATGTGCATGCACATAGTATATTACATATTATAATATAATATACATACATACACAATACACATATTATATATACCATTCCAACACGGTCTTGTTTCGTTTTTCATTTGCGAAACAAAATTTCGCTCGTTAATATAATACACATTTACGTGCAGTGTACAAGTGAGTGGGGTGATGAGATGGTGAGGTGGCGACGAGGAGTCAAGGGAAGTGTGTATATATATATACTGCAGAGATAGCGCATTATATAGTAGTGACGAGGGGTGGGGAGGTATACCCGTATATAATAATATACGTTTTTGAGAGGAGTCTGCGACGACGACGACGACTGTTTTATGTATATATGTGTATATATACTGACAGGAAAATATATAATGTATATATATATGCAATATACATGTATAGTAAGAACGCGTGTATAATATATATATAGCGATGTAGGAGAGTCGAAGGGTTTTATTAAAACGGGGGAAATTGAGGGACAGAGAGACGCACGGACAGAGACGGAATGAGAGAGCGTCGAGAGGGAGAGGTTGAGTTATGGGAAGAATTTAAAGCCACGTCGTTTCGTTCCACGCGCGACGAGGGTTACTATATATACCTATAGTAATATGTATGTGCGAGCTGTAACGTCCGGGAGGATTCGGCGCATGCGCCCTGGAAAGAGAGTGTATATATGACGGTGTGGCGGGTCAAAGTGCGGCCTGGGGAGGGACTCTCGGAACCCGCGAGATGCAGAGCGGGCGAATGGGGAAAAACTTTGGGATACCACCGCGCCGCACCACGTACGGTTTCTCTTTTTCCGCGTGTTCGTTGTCGGCAGCGTAATGGAGTAATCTGCATTTTTGCGATTTCCGGACTGAGAGACGGAGAAAAACACGGCATATAACAACAATATTATATAAAATATAATCCAGTGATAAAAAGTAAGGGTACAAAAATTATCCGAGCGTATCCTAATTACCTTATACATTTCTACATGCTCAATAATATTACAGTTATCTGCTATAGTGACTATAAAGTAAGAAAATGAGTGTTTTAGGTGTAAACATAAATAGTGAAATAAGATACAATAATTATAATTATAATTATTATATTATAATAATATTATAGATTTATACAAATACAACTAACTGAATATCAGGATATGATATACATAACAAAAACGTACATATTATGGGTATATTAAAATGTAAAAATGTATAACGCGTATCTACTTAGTTGGTTATTTTTTTTTTATACATTTTACTTAATTCAAATTTGCAGTGGTATTTTTGCGCATCTATACCTATACATCATGACGGTATACAAATTAAAAACTGAACATTATTTTATACGAACGATGCGGAGGTGAAAAAATAGTCACAGGTAAAGCACGTTGAGGTCGTAGGTTACATCCCATAGTTAAAATTAGAATGTCGCACGATCGCAATGGAAAACGATTGATTGGTATTTTAACTGTATCGCGACGGTGAGCCCTTGTAGTGAATGCAATTATATATATTTTGTTTAAGTAGATGTATATTCTTATATATACAGCGTCCTATTATAGTGTACTTTGGCGCTGGCAATATATTATAATCTATATAATAGTTGTTAGCTAGGCGGTGTACACACACACAACTCTCACGTGCACTGCACTCAGCTACAAATGGGTACCTGGTATATAATAATATATATTATTATATTATATTAACATGTGCGTGTGTGCGTGCACATTTTGGCATTTATATATGACCACGGTTGCCTTGGTAACGTTGCCCGACCGTGTAGGTGTGGTCATTCCGAACCAATGACACTGCTCGCTCGTGTACCGCATATACCCCTCGTGAGATCGATATAATAATAATATACATATATACGCTATTCGCTTTCTGATGTGCGTGTACACGCATAGGTAACTGCGGTTGTTGCAGCCGATGGACGCGGTCACGCGACGCGCTTTCGAGTCATGTTTTTGCGTTTCCTCTATACACATAATATAATATATAGGTACCTACATCATAATATATATATATATATTACATGGGTGTTATCGTAATATAATACTCTATAAGGACCTGCAGCCCACTGCACGTCAACCCCCTTCAGATGTTTTGTCTAAAATGCTTGTATAATAATTTAATACATAGGTATAATAATATATATATATTATATAGATTCCTGCAAAAACAATTTTTTTTAAACTTTTATGTTCTACAAATTTTTTTTTTTATGACCATGGCAATAAATTACACTGCAATATTTTTTATATAATAGAGTGATAAGTATAGAAACAATGAAACCTTTAAATACAGGACACTCTTGGTCGCTGAATTTTCTCCGCGATAAGGAGATTAACACAATTCAGACTGTTATGTTTGTATAGTAAATTTGTAGTTTGTTTCCAAAATAAATCAACTATTTTGAGGTGTTTGCTATTTAAAGGTGTCTAAATGTTAGGGGAGATTTCGATATTATATTATATAAGGATATTTTCCCATTTATAATTTTTTTAAATCAAGATCTCTAGAACTTTAACCATGGTTAGACGTATGTGTTATTTACTGTTATCTATTATACCTTCAAAGTTTAAAAAAAAACCTAACATATTCAAGTCATAGCGAATGGTGAGTGTATTCATTTTTATTTTTTTACATTTATGTAATTACTATAATTATTATTTAGGTAATATTGAATATTTCAATTTTTTCATTATTATAATATTATATTATATATAGCTTTGGGGTATGTATAACAAAAGCTTAAATAAATAGTTTTGTTTATTATATAAGTATTATTAGTATTAAGTTTTATATATTTTGTTTATTTTATATAAATGCGAGCTATAAGCTATAAGTTCTGACAACTCTCCCCAGGATTACATATCAAAATATACACTAGGTTTAATAACAGTTTGTTACTGTTATTAAACCTATCTATATACCTACATAAAAAAATATTAAGCTTCTAGTTTAGTATTTGGCAATTTTGGAAACCATAAAAGCTATCGAAGCTTATACACATATTAGTTTCAGTTGGTGCTCCAATTGAATTTTGCTTTAGTTAGATACGGTCAAAAAAATTGTTTTCGGGCATTAAAACGTTTGTCAGATTAGTATATATAGTCAATTAACAATTAACACAATTGAATTTTTTTTTAAATTAAAACAATATATTCATGATTATTTTACAAGTATAGGTACCTATTCGCAAGAGATTTGGGAGGACGTGATTCTCACACAGTATTTAGTATTTATTTAGGGCTTGAAAGATCATACCATGCAAATTTAGAGAAAATATCTTCATTTTTTAAGTGTTTTGAAACATTCATATAGGTACCTTAATAAATATTAACATTAAATTAATTTCATTCTGTTTAATTTGTACTTTAATTTATTCATGAACAAAATCTAACTTACTTAAGTCTATGTACCTCACTGAAAGTAGAAAAAATTCTCACTGTCCTCACTAGTCATTATTAATAGGAAAAATTGATTTGCAAGCCTCATAATGTCGTATTAAATTGATTCAATAAATTTGATAAAAGTGTACGAGCACAATTAATGTTCTACATTATACTAAATAAATTATTATGTCCTCGGCCAAGTTTCTTTAGTAATTCTCGAAAGGCTATATTAAAGACTGTGGTTAATTTTCCACCCCTATTTATCTGACATTTCAGACAACCGAGTTGTTAATTAATTACACAGAGAATTACCTGCGTTTCCGTATGCATTACATTTATATTGTACATTTGCACAACGATGAACGTGATAAATATATAGATGTTGTTCAACTTTAAAGAGAAATTAAATAGGTATATCCGCTTTAAGCGCTTAACTCAGAAAAGAAAGTGCAAAATTAAAAATATTTTTTAATGTATAGCTATATTAATTATTATTATTGTTATTATTTTTCCAATCAAAAATAATTATAGTCGCAATTGCAATTGGAAATACGTTAACGTATGTATATTATAATATTTAAACCAAATAAAATATTTTATTCGTTTTTAGTATTAATTATGATTGTATATTACATTCACTTGATCCACAGATATCCTGTGTACCCGCAGTATCTAGTACTTGATGTTTAAACATATGTCTATAGTCTATATTAATTGAATAATGCTGTAGATTTAAAATGCAACTCAATAGATATAAAAAAATAATTGTACGATCAATTAATGTTTGAGAATGCGAACATAATGGTGGTGGCTGGGCTAAAGTGGACGAATAGTTCAAAATGAGAGTACGATAGCAGGATGGTAGTACCATTTATTATAATAGTAATAATACTATGATAGCTGATGAATGCAAAAATAGTCGTAGTACCCAAAATAAATGATAATACATCTACAAGCAAGGTGAAACTTTTTTTTTGTGGTACCTATACATGACTTTAAATATGCACTTATTACATAATTACTATCTGTAATATATTCAGATATTCTTATATCCCCCACCCCTTTACAGTCGATTCATAAATATAAGCCAAATTATATTGAGACGCGATAGTACCTATACTATAGTGTATAATTGATGTACAAGTTACAATATAGTACCTAGATAAGCAAGTATACATAGTAGGTTCGTAAGGTACTGATTAACGCTCCGAGAGAACATCATTATTGTACATTAATTATACATAATATATATATATATAATATAGGTAACGAACATCTCGCAGCAGTTTCTAGTGTTTCTACATTTCTGCGTGCATTTCGCTCTGGTGCGCATCAAGACGACTGCAGTTTGTTGCAGTTGCAGTTTAATGTGCGGCGGCGCGCGCGCGTTTGCTTGTTTATCAAAATGAGATTATTATACGTCTAGAGATGGCGGCCGCGATGTAGGTCTTTAGTTCAATTAACTTTATATGGACGATATGATGACGTGCCTGGCAGTTTCAAATCGGTCGTCAGCAATGCAGTTGGTCACGTGACCTGAAGTCCGTGAGCCGACTCGTTTTTTTCACATATATATTATTATTATCTATATATATTATACGCGCGCACGCTTTATCATTATTCTTTTCGCATCGGTTCTCCGGTTTAACTGAAACCAAGGCAATTGCTAAATTATCGTCCATTGTGTCTGTATATACCTATATAATATATATTATAACCGCGGCCTTCTGTCCTACCGCGCTGCAGTGGCGACAATACATACACGTCGGCTATATGGTTATAATAACATAACCTATGCGATATAATATTATATATATTATAAATATATATATATTGATATATACATGTTATGGGTACATACATAAAATACTTAAACAATTTTTTTTCATATATTGTGTACACTTATACGATTATATGTTTATTCGGTTTATTGTTTATATTATACTTTATGACGCCGTTTTTTAAATTTCATAATATTATTTTTATAATGCCCATTCGCCGACTAGATGTATACATATAATATATAATATATAGGCATTAGGCAAACGTTTCTATTTTCTACATAATATAATGGCTGGGAAGCACACTACAAATACATACGCATGTATACACGCTCAAGTAACGATGCCGACAATCTCCTTTGTTGCCACTTGTATATATAAATATATGCTATATGCAATGCTGCACATTGTGCACATTTATATATTTTGGTCTCGACACCTGCGAGGTTTTTCAGACAAACAGGAAAAAAAATATTATATTGTCTCTGGTCATCGATGCTCGCGTATATATATGAATATAATATGGAGGATGTAATAATTTTTTCAAACATTAATTATTATTATTATGGTGGTTGATTACGTTCCTTGTTTTTGTCGAGACGTCAAACCTGCTGCCGGTTGAAGTTCAACTCATGAATTATTATTGTGGATGTTATATTTTTTTTAATAAATGACCGTTAAATAATTGTTACTTCGATTGCAATGGTTACCCACATCATATTATATAACATTACACGGGACGGTATCATACAATCAAATATGTATATGTATGTAACATGTACCTAAGAATATATTGTGTGTATATAAATATGTTATGTATATTCTATTATTTCGAGCATACGAAGTATAATACTTATTGCATATGCAAGCTATACTGCTGGGTGCCTCGTAAGGATATTTCTAATACTCAGATATATATATTTTATAACTATTATTATTAGGTTGAACGTTTTGTTAATTGTTAGGTTAGGTTAGGAGTATCATAGTTGTTGAATACATTTTTTTTCCAAAGCTTTCAATGTTTTCGTATTTAAATATCCACTACGAACTACAATATGCACAGCAGTGTACCCACCGAATACCGATAACCTTGGCCTATATACTAAGTATACGCCTTTGAGCAGTTCTAGGTCCCTATAAACTCAATTCCACATGCATATAATATGATATATAAGTATAATGTATATAACAAATCCTCAGAGGACCAATATATATAAGTAGTAGATGCATCTATAAAATATTATATTAATATTATGATATCCGATAATATTAGTTTATTACCACTGCCCACTGATTATAAATAATAATAATAATTTATTTACAATCAATGTTATACGAGTAATAACTAAATTACCATATTTTTATTATATTTAGTTTGCTCATAATTTTCTGCAGGGCACAATGCATATACAGCATAAAGCAGAGTTCTCTACAGCAGGCTCGTCTGTCGTGCCGTGTTCCTTATCATGGTATAATTCACTAACGATGACCTACTGCAGGAAATGTATAGAGCTCAACTATCTGTATAGCTGGTCATGACATGACACGACAGAAGACCTACCTGTGAACCCGGATTAACACGCTTGTTATCTTGATACATAAAATACCTACCAGTTGGTATACACATGGTATCGTGGTATAAAACACATAAATTATCAGTACTAAATATTATTACACCATAGCTGATATATATCACATTTTTTATGATCATTATTACCTGGAACAGTGGGATATGACGAGTAAGACGCGCCAGTATCCAAGGCCGGATGATGGGCGCTGTTGGGCCACGGTTCCATGCCAGCTTTGCCGTGATACTGGTGTGGATGTGGGTGACTAGATGGTGGAGGTGGTGGTGGCGGCGGTGGCGCCAGTCTCGAAGTCGGTGGCGGTAGTAGTAGGCTGCCGTACTGGGCGGCCATGTTATGGTGGTGATGGTATTCGTGCACGGCCCTACGACAAAAAAAAAAGCACGCGATTAAGTACTATAGGTTTAATTGGAGTAATAGACTTTTAACATTATTATAAATCAGGTACTTATGATATAAGTGCAAGTATACTGCAGTGGACTTTTTGAGAAATTGTTGGTATAGTCGAAATTAAAAAAAAAAAAAAAAAACAATATTGGAGGTAAAATAAACACTATACCCACTGGCTACTACCTATACCATAGATACTAGTTGCCTATACTAACACATTTAGTTTCGTTCCTTAATAATTTTGACAAATTGATAATGCTATAATACTTTATTTTATAAAGTACCTATAGGCACCTACATCGTTTTATCATCTCGTGATGTTATTTGTTTATTGTTTAATGCAATAATACCTATATATGTATTTTATTCAAATAATATAATATGTAAAACTTATAAAAGTAGTTTGATTATTACACTATCTAGGTACAAGTTATCATTTTTTTTTTTTTTTTTATTAGATGACCCAAGGCAACATAGGCCATTGGGTGGGGGTGAAACGGGGAGTTGTTGTATTGGATAGGTTTGGTACACGTGTGTGTGTTGTGGCAGAATTTCTAGTGGGGTACCCGTAGGTTTCTGCCATGCCCCTGGTGGGGGACGGTGGCAAGTTATCATTTGTTTGAGGTAAAAACTGATGTCAATCAGGACTAAAAAATACATTATAGGGGTTTTAAACATTTAACATGCCAACAACTTTGTCGCCTAGTATAATATTGGTACTAGTGTACTACAATATCAAAAATATCTACTGTCACTAAATATGTATACACTGCAAAATTAATCTAATTTAAACGCAAAGCACAGAAATTAAAATGTTTTTGTAAGAATTAAAGATAAATCTTTTAATAACATTTTAAATAAAATACAATAGCGCATAGCATGTTTTTATAAAATTAGACTCATGGGGTAATGAATGTTCTGTGTTAACATAATTCTTCATTAGCCATTACCCTGTATGGCATGTATAGGTATACGTAATAAAACGTGCCATTTACAAAATATTTAACAGTTCCAAGTAAACTACACAATTTAGATATATATACATATTATATAATCCATATAATGTTTTAAATATCATGACAAATCGAAAGAAAATATACCTGGTGCAAAAGTATTATATTAAATTATTTTTGTGAAGAATAAGCGAAGATCAAGGGCCATCGAACGGAAGACCACTATCTGGAAATGGGACAGGTGATGGAGGGTCTTTAAACAAGGCCCCCTACCCATAGGCTCACCCCAAACGTCGTCAGGTGGGAGGGGCATAAGGTGTCCAGGGTACCGTTGACCTTTCATATGACCCTACAGGCGTTAACTGGACTCGGGTGCTTTCAACAGTACTTGCATCGCATGAGTAGGGCCGCTGCATTCACTGTCCTTGTTTATCGGGCACGACTGAGCACACGGTGTTTCATTGCTCACAGTGGTGCGGGGTAAGAGAGGACCTCGGTACGTGCCTAGGACGTCCACTGGCTATTCTGCGGACGCATGCCAAACATCCTCTGCGGTCCTGTCTTCGAGGTTCTCCCTGCCGATCCAGCAGAGAAGGCAAACGTCCTGAAGGACGTCGAAGAAAAGTTTCGGCTTTTTATCTGATGGTGTAAAACATAATGACAGTGAAAGAGGAAGAAGAGAGAGCGAGACAAGCGGTCGAGGGAAGGTGACGGGGACCTTCCCGTATAGGCGTCTGTCTTGCGTCAAGACACCGTCTTGCGAAGTGGAAACTCAGCACGTGACTTTCAAAATACTATATGACAGTTGTAAGTGGATAAGGCAAGGCACGTCGTGCCTATCCCCATGTGGTAAGGCCAGTCTTAACATTGTACACTCTCAGGCTGCAAGAAACCTACACTTATATACTACCAATAGCCACGGAAAGTAGTCCCTGACTTCCGGAGTGTGTGGAACCAAATTGTAACAAAATTTTGTATAATATGTATTAATTGCTATTACAAATTAATAAACGATGGTAACGCTGTCAACGTAATACTTAAGCAGTTCCGGCAGCGTCGTCGATGCCACAAAAAAAATATGTATACAACTCGTGAGAGGAGAGGGGAAATCGCATACCTTTGCAGCTTTACCATAGTTTATAGTCGATATACACAGCTCCTCACATTTAACTTTCGGCACATTATTGTAAGTATTTACCTTAATGTTGCAAACACTACAACTACGCAATTAAGTTAAAATAATTGTGTCCTAGTATATGTCCCTAGGTATATGTTAATATAATTTCAAAAAAAATACCTGTGATGGTGATGAGCAGCCGCAGCTGTATATTGTTGGTAATGTGTCTGCCATGGATCTGCGGGATTACCAGCAGTACCATGATGATGGTACATTGTGTCGGGATGGTACACTTGACTAGTGGAGTGATGTGAGTGATAATTACTGTTCCAAAACGACGCTGGGAAGTTTCTGGAAGACATTGGGGAAGTATCTGAAAGAATAAAATATAACATAATTAATATGAAACAAGAAAAATAAATGTCAAAATTAATTTTTTGGTAGTATTATGCGAATTTATAATACATCATCCAAGGTTAGATAACTTAATGAGATAAATAAACTTAAATTAATACTGAGTTAATTATTTAAAGTAATTTATAAAGTTAAATAGAAGTTTCTTTTTACATTTTAATTATTTTTATGTTACATATACATTTTATCAAATTGAAAGTTAATTGATAATTTTTAAACTATGCAAAAATATTATAATTTATAGTAGGTATCCACACGCATGTTATAGGTATCACTGTTTCTTAATGTTTGTAAACTAATTACAATGCCAACATTTAATAAATATTTTATAATAGTATATTTTTCTAAATAATAAGTTTTTAAAGTATAAAAAAAAATAAAATATACGTAATAAATTAGTATAAAAAAGTAGAGCATTGAACAATTGATAATTTTTTTACCAATTTCAAAATCGAAAGTATAAATATTGTTTGCAACGAAAATAATTAAGCGTCTTTTGAATTTACCGCAAACGAAGTTTGTATTTCTATGTGTAATAACACTCGGAAATATTCTATCAGAACATATTTGCGATTGTGCGTTTTCTAAGTTCAAACGGTAAAGGAGTTAAGAGATAAATCGAAATAGTTACCTATATTTTATAATTCTGCGTTTAATCGTATTTGTCGTTCATACAGTAATAAAGAGTTGGAAAACGCAAATTGTAAATCGCTTTCTATCTGCACGTACTTTAAAATCGAACGTGCTGTTCCGTGTCAATATTTAATCGCAGAAAAAAGATTTGTGAACCTTACAGGTACGTCTTACAGATAGAAAACGATTTGCAAGTGATATAATCGAATAATCGCAGAAAACCCAACTATTTTTATTAGTCGGACGGTAAAACAATTTGATGCTTTAATCGTTAAAAAATGCAATAATTACTCTAAGTCTGTGTTCTATTCATATTGTATTCTGTTGCATATGTTACGGGTTTATTGAACTCGTGTAAATGATTATAATTTACGCAATTTATAATACGAAATGAGATCAGCACACGGAGACATTTTTGGGTGTCAATTGCAGCAGTAAAACGAGGCAGGTGCCTTAACAGAAGTAAATGTACCTAGTAGTCATCGTACATGATGGTTTATATTATATATATTATAATTTATACACCAATTAAAGCTATCCGTTGGGCGCTTCTTTAATTGCACATTAAAAATGTAAAAGCGTTTTGAAATGATCATCATACGTCCTATATATTATGCGAATTGCATGGCCTCTCGTATATACTATATATATTAATAATAATTAATAGGTAGATAGTAGGTACACAAAGTATTCATTGAAAAAATGTCATTATCTAATCAACACGTGCGTATAAAAATGCAACGGTTTTTGACGCGTGTCAAATATTACCTATATAGTGCATACGTATATATATAGGTTCAAAGAGTTCGTATGCGTGTAAATATTTCTGCAGGAACAAAAATCCCGTAAACATTGCAGGTATAAGGTTAAGCAACTGCTGTAGAATATCATACCTAATGATGTCGTATATTATAGGAACTCGTACGCATTGCGTAACGTAGGTAATATTATAATTTTGTGTACTCGTACGATATTATAATATAATATTATAATGTCGGGACTCGGGAGTTGGGGTGGTACGTATTTTTAACGCGTGTAAATATTTTATTACCTCTCAATACGAATTTCAAAATGATTAGTCGAAGCATGGTGATATTGTGTTATTATACTTATTAACCGTTGAAAATCGTCCGAGTTCCACGCCCGGGTCTTGTATATTATACACAGTATTACATTATAACTTATAAGTCGTTTATATGCGCAAGTGTGTGTGTTTGTGTTCATACCGCCGATGCCGCCAATCCGATCTATTGTTTCCCAATCGAATTTGGAGTAGGTATATTATGTATGTGTATAATATGTATATATTTACTACGGTGGTGGAAAATAAAAAGAGATACGGATCGAAGTCGGCGTTTGGACAAAAGACGTTCGGAGAAGTGCAAACGAATAAATATATATATATATATATATATACGCGTGTGTATACGTAAAAAATATATACAATAATAAAAAATAAAAAAACAATGAGGAATTAAGAAGCGAATAAAAATATGTATGTGTGTGTACTGTGTCTGTGTGTGTATAACAGGTTTGGTTGGGTCCAATATAATTTACAAATCTACTCGATCACACACACACACACACCACAAAACACAACGCGCGCGCGCTCATATGCGTCCTTCTACACCTGTAAAAATACAACAATAGCTCTTCCAAAGCGCAGCCGAAGAGAAAAATAAATAACTGAAACAGTGGACCCGTGGGAAAGCCCGAATACGACACATTTGTTACAGCCCGAACACCCGACTTACATTATAAATCTTCTTTTCGGACCGAACAGTCCGCGCCGCCGCTTTGCCCTGCAGCAGCCGACGCGCACAAATTGTGAGCGCGCGCGACAAACCGTATAATAATTGAGCACCCAAAATGAGTTGTGCTCAGTGGCGCAACTAAATTGTTTAATGGCAGATGTAGTGGGGGAGGCGGTTGGCAGTTTCGAAATATTTTCTAAGATTTAAGTTGTTGAGTTTTTGAGATGAATAATGCAATGTTATAATAATGGTATCTGACAGTTTTTATCTTTACATAGGTAAAGAATTAATGGTATTAATTATATTATACCACGGGGCCGAATATGGATCATTCAACGTAATACACTCATTATTTAGGAAAACATCTAATGTTTTTGAAAATAGTTCGTTTGCATAATTTTAAGTCGTTGCGCAAAACAACATTTTGGGGATAAAATTATAATTTTCAATATTTTTATCGTTATTGTTTTTATACATTTTAGTTTTTTGAATGATTGCAACAAGCATTTCTAATTTCATATTCTGAAGTGAAATATTATTTGAAGTATTTCGATCTATAAAAATCAAATTGTGAACAAGCAGTTTATTAATTATAACTTATTAAGTATTTAAAGTTTAGATGAGCGGAGTAGTGGATCATAATTTTACGGGGTAGGTACCACTGTAGTACCACTTCACTCAGCTCATAAAAACATTCAATATACTTAATACTCTAGGATTTTGAAATAATGTGTGTATTACGCTTAAAAGGATCATCCGGTATATATTATTATGATTGTACAGTTTCCTCTTAAATTTAATCCATCTTTAAACCACCCCACCCACCACTTAAAAAGAAATCTTACATTTCCTTGACTGGTTTTATGTAATAATAATAAGTCCGACCTCTCGTAGACGTCTTCGTTTAAGTTTAAACGACTATAAACTTACGCAGGCACCCGACAAATTCTATTCGAATCCGCTTTGTATACTTGTATAGAACAATAATATAAGCAGCGTATGTGTGCGCGATTTCCGTTTATTAAACTTTCGTTAGCTCCAAGTTTCGAGAATCCTCGTCGTTGTTCGGGGGTACCGGTCTATATACGCTGCGGGTTTCTTGCAAATATTTCCTCGAGAATATTATTATTAGACTTCTACGAACTGTTTAATCGCGGCAAACTTCATTATATACTTACAGATTGTACATGTTTAACGTAAATAGTTTGTGCGTCGCTTTATATGTATACATTATACACATAAAATACATATTATTATCATTATTGTATTTCTGTTCACAGTACATAATAATACTATTATGTATTCCTACTGTTTATATTAGTGGTCGGCAACCCCCGGCCCGCGAAGCAATTTTTGATGGCCCGCACAAAGGTGGTTAATTTTTTGTGTTTTATTTTTGCTCAATAAATTGTTCATAAAATGTTCAATATTATTCAATTCTTTTTTCTTTATAAATAAAATCTAACCTAATCGTTAATTGTTGATGTTTATTCTATATAGCTGTATAGTCAGTTTAATCTATAAAATTGTTATTATTATCTAATCAGAGTCGAAGATAGTGATAGCTGCACTACTCAGTCATAGTTACTTTGCATTTGTAGCGAATAGTATTACACCGTAGTATTACATCGAAAATTTAACTAATAAACTGCAAGCACAGAAATCTCATTAATTACAAATTTACAATTTTATATTCAATTAAATTTTTCCTTAAAAGCAATATTTTCCAGTAACATTTGTATTTTTTTACACTCATATTTCTATGTAAAATAATCAAATATAATAGCAATACAATTATTAGTATATTATTATATATATTATATGTAAATTTTTTTTTTTTAATGTGGCCCTTATTGATGAACATTTGAAAAAAAAATATGAAACGCGTGGTTCAAAAGGTTGCCGAACCCTGGTTTATATAATATTATGCTCCAGCTATAATGGTACATTCCATATATTGTGCCTACATGATATTATTATTGGTTACCTATTTTAATACCATATTCAACAGTTCAATTATGATTTATGATATTTTTAAACTATAAAAATCATCAAATAAATGCTTGTTTAAAAATATTTTAATTTAGAAATGCATGAATAAAAATAAATAATAATAATTAATAATATTTTATTCAAAGTGATTTCATTTCTTATTATTATTATTTTAGATTCTGAGAGGAGCGATGAATAAATTGGTTTTACAATGATGTGAGTTATTTTTGTTTTTTTTTTTTGTTTTTGTCATCACCTTTAGGAGCTGAAAAATTACTTCGATTTTCTTCAACAGTATACATATCTTGTTCTATGGGAAAGTGAATCTAGTTAGTGTATCCGGGAGTTCAAAATTTAAAATTCCCTATAGTTTTCAAAAGCATTGGGAAAAACCAAAAAAAAAAAATTAAGGATGAACGGGAATTTTAACGTAAAATCGTTTATGGACAACATTTTTGGATTTTGGTTTTTGGTGTAACTCTAAAACAAATTACCGTAGATACATGACATTTTCACTGAATTTTTATATTATCATTTTCTATACACCAAACAATTATTACAATTTCCAAAATATTGTCACTTGATTATTCGTTGGGTCAAAAAGCTTGACATTTTAATACAAGGATCTTGATATATTATTACAATGCCAGTTAAAAAATATTAAAAATAGAGTCAACATTTTTTTTATAAGCATTTATGTGGGGGAAGGATTCGTCACTAAAAATCCGGGTAAATTTGGATAATATGTTAAGTCTGTAATCTCTATATATGCTTATTAATTTTTGAATAAAAAAAAAATCGATTTCGTCGAAAACATGGTCTGCGTTAATATTCCCGTTTGGCGTTTACCATTTTTAACAATTATTTAGAAATTTACTGTAATTTACCCCAAAATACCAACTATGAACTAGATTCAATTTTTTACCATAAATTAACATCAAAGTTGGAGATTGATGCATTTTTACTCTAAAAGGTAACAAAAGGCACAAAAAAACACAATAACTGTAAAACAAATATGTCGGTACAATATACATTAAAATATGTATAATAATACATCCATAAATATCCCTCAGCTCAGTATCCAAGAATTGAACTCATTGTTACAATGAAATCAACACGTAATTAATTTATCATCAATTTAAAAATGACAAAATTACGTTATTTAAAATATTATTCATACAATAAAATGTTGTTATGATAATCGTCCAATTTATTCAGTAGTATGTAATGATTTTAATAATAGAACTTTTGTAAGTGTATTATAAATATGTTTAATTAATGAGCCATATATTATATGTCGAGATATTTTTAAATTATATTTAACACACGCATAATAGCAAAAAATAAACCGCACGTGACTTAACGTTCTACTGATAAGGTTTATAGAAAAATTAATTGACTGCTATAATTTAAACATTTTAAATGTTTATTATAGGTAGAAATTATTAATAAGTACAAAAATGATTATAAGAATAGTTATTAAAGTCAGAGATTTCTTATTAGAGAAATATCAACAGATATTGAGGACTGAGGTATACCCACCTATATAATATAAATTGGTATACCCATACCTATATAATATATACATAAGTAGATTACACATAAAGTAATAATACCTATGGAATCCCAATGTAGGTTTTGTACTATAATTGTACCTTATAGGTAGATCGAAATCCTTATTGATACTTATGAACTCACATTAGGTGCAATGGTAAGTTTATTGTTAAAAAAATTGTATTTTATTATTTTGTTGGTGTACAAAAGTAATACAGATTCAAAGGAAAATGTTTTCAGTAAATATTCATAAAATAAATAGAGTAATTAATGATTTAATTTGTAAAATAATAATTACAATTATTCCGGATAATTACCTATAACTTGCTTTTCTGTTTCACATAAAATATTTTACGAAATGAGTAGATATATACACAATACTCTACAATCTTAACGTTGTATCAGTAGGTATAAAGTGTTGTTTCCAATATTTCTTAATTTTTTTTTTTATGGATTTACGACATATATTTTCATCTTACGGCAGACCATGATTGTATCTCTAACAGGATTTTGTGAGGTGACCCTAGGTTAAGTTAATCACATTAATTCTAGTATTTTTTTTTTTTGGTGTTTAGATCAATGGTAGATAAACAATGTACCTATATTAGGTACACACGAAAACATTATACAGTGAACAATTTTAGCGGTGCCTTGCCAGAGTATTTGTGCTTAAACAATATATATATATACTAGTACAGTTTACACAACACGAATAAAATATTTAAGTGATGATAATTGTAACATAATATTATACGTTATGGGGAACATTTAAACGATTGTTGTCAGTGAGGTATAATCGGTTTGTGTGCATTAGGTTCACTATATTATAATATCGCGTTATTAATTATTTAAAGTACCAGCTATACCTTAATAACATTAAATAATCAAATTAAATAACGTAGATACATATTATCATTTATTATAAATACTGGTGTTTATAATCATTGCTATTATTAATACAAAATATAGTAGTTTATTAAAAAAAAACCCCGATTTCGGGATTTATGTTAGATATCTGTACAACTGTATGTCATAAACTCATAAGTCTTAACGTATTTTATGCAGTTTTATTGATATCAAACGGTTACCAAATAATTTAAATGTATAAAACTGTTAAATTCAGCGAACTTCGTAAGCAGTAATATTATATAGTTAATATTTTGGCCACTACAAATATTTAAAGAATGTAATTTGACATTTGTTTTACAGTATCTAGATATTAAAAAATAGTAGTGCCAAGTTTCATAAAAATTGATTGATTGATGGTCCACTAAAATTGAATGGACCAATCACGAGTATTCTAATATTTTATAGGTATTTTCTAAAACCGTGTCCAGATGAAAATATTTAGTAGTGAAGTTTATTTAAAGTAAGAGATTTTGCCATAAAATAATAATAATAATACGCTTTTATCTTAAACTTAATTTAGAACAGGTACCTACTACAAATATTAAGGATATGGCACCTATCAGAATCTATTTGGTTTTCTTTAAAATTTGACTCTGCAAACAACTGGATACATCTTTATATTTGACTGCAATAAATAGCACTCTCGATTAGTGTCCCCGGAGCTTGACGATATGTAATGATATCGTAAAAAAAATAAGTAATGTATCGCCGACGCGAGTTTGGCGTGTGTTATTCCATATATGCTCACGCTCGCATTTGCTTGTATAGGTACGCAGTGCTCGTGTGTGTGTGTGCGTATATGATTGTTGTGCGGAGAACCAGTTTATTCGCTAGACGGAAGACACATTCCTGTAGGAGGTGTTTTACAAGTGAAAGAGTTTTCTTGTACTAATTAAAAACCTATTAAAATAATGCTCAATTCTCACGCGGTCAGTATATATAAAAATAAATAATGTGTCGCCGCGACTCGCGGGATGGAACAGAAGAACAATTTTTCGAGAGAAGTATAAAAAAAAAAGAAAAGAAAAAACGGCTGCGGTCTGAAATGTTAAGTTTTTCACTCCAAAGCGAAAACGCATTCTCAGTCCTAAGGTCAATCCTGACGTCGCCGGCTGTTTATGTGTTTTACGCGCGGCAGACTTAAAGAAAATAATATTACACTATATAGTATAGACTCTATATGTTATAGATTGAGGAGAGCGAGAAAAAGAAATTCCTATATATATATATCGCTATTATATATATACTTCTCCTATAAGTAAGTCTTCTCAATACTGCAGTTAAAGGTCACTAATCGATCTGAATGCATAGGTGCAACTTTGTATACACTGTAGTTTGTCTGAGCACTTATCGAATTCCACTCCCCCTTCAATTTACCAATTTGTCGAAAAGTTCCAAAATATAGTATCAGACATTGTACGTTGTATAAACTATATTTAATTATATGTCCATACTTTATTGGGATAGCGTTAAAATGTAAATCAAAACTTTTTAGCGACTCACCTTTGGTCGACGTCTGATGAGCGTTGTTGAGTTTTTGATCGCTGTTCAACGCCCTGGAAAAGTGTTCGTCTACCACGTTGGCGACGTCACCAGTATAGTGGGTGAACACCACGCAATTTACAGACACGTATTGCGCGTGTGCGGCGGCACGCCTGTCCCCTCGCGTTCTTGAGTCGTCCTGCACGTTGTCCTCGTCCTCATCCATTTCAGTGCGAACATCTACAAAAAAAATACCAAACACCAAAAAACATAAATAAAAACAGTCCTTGAGAGCAGAAAAAATATAACTTTTAAAATCCATCATCATAATCTGTTCATTACGTCTCATTTTCCGTTTTCGTCTTAATTCTGTTAACGACACGAACAACAAGGAAAAAAACAGTTTAAAACTATCCCTCTTTTGAATACATTACCACCTCGTTAAGTCACCGTGGACTGAATTACAATTCGGTATAAAACTTCTGAAAAAGGACGATTTATGTACCACAATTTTGCATTGTATATTATAAAATAATGTTTATTAAGACGCCTCAGTGTTCTGTAAGACGACAAAGCAGATTAATCTCAATATCACGAGGATAAAGCATCCTTGGGCACGTTAATTGAAGAGGATGCTTTAGGGCGATGAATATTGTCTTTTGTGAACGCTTCTAAGTATTTTAAGGATATTTAAACATCATGCTTTGTTTAAGAGCTGAATTATACGGCTGTAAATATTTTTAAAAAACTTCAAAACATCCTGAAACTTTAAACTGTTTTCAGAAATATGCACCTAAATTATTTTTAGGTATGCATTTATAAATTATAAAATATTTTAATACTTTTAGTTAATTTAATAGTAGCTAGGTCCTATATATGATCGGTTATAAATTATTATATTAATACGATAGTGATTAGTAGCATATTATGTTATTTGTAAACTAATCACTAATGTATAAAATAATATAAAATACTAAAGTTATCATCAGGTATATATTATGTAAATAATAAATATATAATTACGTTACATTATTTATATAAACCTTCAGGATACGCGTTTTATGAAAATATAAATTGGATTCAATTGACACCTATACTTGAAACCTCATATTATTATCTTTTATGTTATATATGGAACGGGGCTGCAGCAGGTGTTATATAGTTACTAAAGCAAAGCTAGAAACTAAGACAATCGATATGCATGACTTGTTGGAATATCGGAGTTGTGCACAAGGTATGTTTAATCGCAATAACGCATACATCATTCTGTTTCTGTCTGCATGAAGTTCTTGATGAGATAATAGTTTCTATTATTTTAACAGTTATGAAAATACAAACAGCTCGTACACCGTAATAATATAGTGATTGATTTCTCGGGATATAATAAGTGTATAGGTATTATATAATTTATACATTATACATTTTAGATTTTTTTATTGAGTCGTTAAAAATCGATAAACGTTTTATAATCAAACTATAGTCTGTAATAGAGTGATTTTAAGAGTGTACATATTTTTATTACAGTGCTTTCATTATTTTGATAGGTAACACAAGGCATTGTTTATTTGGAAACCTTAAACTTCAGTGCTCGGCTTAAGGGGGGCAGGGGGACGGAGTACCCCAAATAATTTTTCAGAACTTTTAGCGTATCCCTACTTTTATTTTTAATGGGAACTCACGGGATTCTGCATCATTCTGCATTTTTATCAAAATGTACGTTATCAAATCATAATTTTTCTTACCATAGATTTAATAATTATTAATATATGTATTATTATTATTATTATTATTTAATTAATTATCTTTAATCATGTTTCATAACATTACTTAACGTTATCATTATTCACTAATATTTGTTATCAATTATCATGTATTAATAATATAATGTATCATATATTTATTATATTTTATAAATTATAATAAAAATATACAATATAATATTTACAGTAATTTTTTTTTAAGTTGATTATTTATTAATATTTTTTATATGATTTAGAGAGGGGTAATAGGGGGTGTGGGGGCGTAGCCCCCAAGGCTTAGTTTAGGCAAATATTAACAAGTGATGGGGATGCACTTTTTTAAAGTTAACAGAGTCCCCCTACTTTAGTTTTGCCAAGTCTAGCACTGGATTTAGTTAAACACATCTGAAACATATTATAAAAAGCGCATTAAAGCCTGTTATATTTCACTCTAGTTGGCCTTTTAAGTTTGTTGGTGAACTGACAATCGACTATTGATTTTTTAATCGCAGCTTTCATATTTTATTTAACCTTTTTATACGTATTATTATACAACGATTTTTACTTATTTCACAGCAAAGCACCTATTCCCATGTAATTCGGGATTTTAAAGTGTGTACAAAACTTAATTACTATTAATGTGTTTATACTATATTATTATTTATTACCGTCTCTGGATGTGTCTTCTTCTTTGTGTACTACCGAAACACTATTGGCAGTGGCCGGTGAGGATGCGGGACTGGCGATGCCACCAACAGGGCCCACACTGGATGCTCCGGATCCGACGCTGCTGTGGTGTGAGTCTGTATGATCTGCAATTGTCGTCCATCTATTCGCAGGAGAGTCTCCACCGCCAATCGGTGAAGATGTGGATGCTTGTTGGTGCGTTTCCAATGCTCTCAACTGTAAACAAATGCATAATTTTAATAGTACAATGTTATATTATATTATATTATATCATACTAGTAGGTACAATGATTGATAATATATAATATTAAAAGCCAAGAAGTGCCGCTAAATATTACAGCTGGACGACCTCGGTCGTCCTAGGATTTAGATGTGGTTTTTGGTGAAAGGTGGAATTGAAAATACACGTTTTGAGAACATTTCAAATTTTAAACCGTTTCGGTACGCACATACGCAATACAAGTTACTTAGGTATAGTAAAGTCAATATTGTACTCCAGATTTAGATAACCATTTGTTTTATATATTATATTATATAAATAATAGTTCTTGTATGAAGTATAGTCTTTTCTAATTATTGAATTGACTAGGTAAGTTGGAACTTGTAATTCCTGTATAATATTATGTACACACTGTCTGGATATTATTATCAGTATCACATTAAAGTTGTTATGTTTCTTGAATAATGGTTTTTTCACATGGTAATTGCTAAACCTGCACGGCACGCGTATACATACACATATAGACACTGAAATATCGTTTATCACCAAATATAACATACAGACATTCTCCAAAGGTAAGATCATATTTGTAACTTAATTAAATACTGTTGACTACACAAAATATCATATACCTACAGTGAAATGTATTCTTGGATTCAATATTAGATTGAGATATTATAATCATGTTATTATTTTCCATAGTTTAATAGGTAATAATTTTGTTCGCTATCTTAAACTCAATACCTTATAAACGTTGATTGGATTAAATACGACTTATCCACCGCTGCGGCTTAGCCTTTTAGACTAATGACGGTCAATTAATATTAGTTATTATTATTACAAAACGCAAGTCGAACGAGTGCTGAGAAACCGGTTGAGTGTAAAGGACACGAAGATGAAAAAAAAAGTGGTAGCCCAAACTTTTTTCTTCCGAAAAACATCAATTGTCTTATCATCATATTGCCTTTCGTATAATATAACAGCCCATTGTAGAAAAAATAAATAAAGAAAGAAAAAAGAAAAAAAGGAAAAATAAAAGAATGAAAAAAACCTAAACAAGAATAAATTGTAAGATGGACCAGATACAGTATAGGAATGCGGAGTCGGGCCGGACTTAAAAGAGCATTCCTCGTGTCCCGGCACACACCGGCTGCCTCTGATGACCATAAATCAACATGGATACATACCCGTATATACCTATAACACAGTATTTGTAGGTACACTAAACTTTACAGCGCGCGGTAATTTTTATACTTTTTTTTGTACAAATAGTATATTTTTTTCATCTCTCCCATACACCGGGTACCGTTACACGAAAACACAACGATAATATTATAATGTACCTACATGATTTGAAATACGATTTTCCCCGTTTTATAAGGGAACAGTCGAGAATTTCCACGAACAAGGTATTATTATTATTATGACAATGAGTGTATAATATGTCTCGGTTAGGTTTTTTTTTTTAATAGGGGCGCCGCCACGGCACGGTAGCACGGAGATATGGAATCCCACTCATCTCAGCCATTCCAATTTGTTCATTAGGCTTGGTCCATATAAAAATATTTCAAATGTTTCTTTCGTGTAGATCGCATTATATGCACGCGATATTTATTTCGCGTCCACTCGTTGCGTTCTCCTTGCAGTATGCGCCAGAGAAATATTTTCACACGGCCTTTAGAAATTTATCGAACTCCCAAGAAATAGAACCAAATAATGAACTTGGCCGTTCTTTGTTATGAAACACGGTAAAGGTATCAAATAATATACTCCGATAACTTTAAATGTAGTTAATTGCAACTAAAAGTATTATTTTTTATAGGTAGCGCCCATGTTAAATAAATAATATTATTCTATATTATGGCCAATATAGTAATAGTATAGTAGGTAATTAAATTATTAATAACTCATAGACATAAAAATATATTAGAAATTATTATTACTCAGACTGCAAGTGTCTAAAAAAAATATATCAACAAATAATATTAATATGTGATGATCATCATGTAATCGTCTAATAAATAAGTAGTATAAGTTATTAGGTGCATATTATAAACCATATGAAAGTATTTTAAATTAAAATATGGTCTATATAATTATTGTACCACACAATATGTTGGTTAGAGCACCCAGGCCATACCATCTTTTTTTTAACACTTTTTGTTTATAATCATAAGTTAAAATCATTATATTATTATCATTACTGATAAGTGATAATAACTTCTAAATATTCTAATTATTTTATTACACAATAAAGTTGCTGTTAAATTTGTCTACCTATATCGGCTTCAGATCTAATTAATAACTTTGTGTAACGTATTTTATATGTCACAGGATTTTATTCTTTACAATCAAGATTTATCTTTATTAGGTAGGTACATATAAAACTTATATTTCCATACATATTTTAAGCACCTATACTAACACCTTAAAATATATTTATTATTTACTACCTATTTACAAAGTTCAACATAAATAACAAAATGTATTGTATCTATTCTTATATATAAGTATTGACTTACGTATTTTCCAAATCAGAACATATAATTTCAAGTTTAAACTTTAATACTTCATAGAAAAATAATGTGTATTAAATTTTAGGATAATGGTAAAGATAATGTATAATGTTATTATAACTAAGTTATAATATAGGTACCTATATTTAAAAATTGAGAATTGAATAATATTATGTACTTATAGTACTTACCGCAATTGCATTTAAAAATTAAATAATTTATGAACGTAATCTAAAATATTACTTAATTACGCAATTAGGTAGTTAATTAATAGTAATAAGAATTTAATTTGAAAATTTAAATTAATTAATTTATATCCAAATACATAAAAGTTAAAACATAATATTAGTCATGGGCTAACTAGAATATATTAATTATTTTTATGAGGTGAACTATTTTTTTATGTCAAGTACCTAACTAACAATACATTAAAACAAAACAAAATTTTTCAAAACAATCACGTACCAAGAAGGTTGTCAACATAATACAGCAATACGCGCGCGTGTCGTATAAATTTGCCTTTAGCAATAATATTAGGTATCCTGTTTTTCTAACATTCTACAAATAATTCACAACCGTCACCGACACAATTTAGCGAACATATTTTGCATAAACTTGTTTTTTGTTTTTATTTCCACCCTAAATGTGTTTTCATCATCACATTAATGTATTATAAATTACTTAATTTGAGTAAACTAGTTTTAACATTTATTTGAAAATATGTAATGTAGATATGTATAAATAACTTATGAAAACGTGAATTTATTGTCTCTGTCTAGTGTCTTACAAGTGGATAACATACAAATTTCTTTCAGAAATTCGCATTGAGATTCGTCAGTTTTAATATTAAATATTTAATATAGTGTGAATGACTTATTCTTTGTTATCAAACTTAAATAAAAAACAGGTTAGGTTTTGCCAATGTTTAATATTTAATACCTATTCTAAATACTAAGATTAAAATGTAAATACAGAATTAAAGACAGATATATTTGGAAATAGTTACATTTTTAAGCTATATTGTCTTGGTAATTATATTAAAAATATTTATCTACTTACCTACCTACCCCCACCTACGGGTATACCTATATTATAATATCTAATATTTTTATATTTTACACATCTTTAAAGTTCAAAAATATACCTATATGTTGAATTTTCAATCTAACCACAGAAAGGGGATATTATGAAAAATTTTTGATCACTCCTAAATATTGGTGTCTTCTATAAATAAGTCCAGCTATAATACACGAAATGTATCTGCAATAGGTATACATAGATCTCACTACTCTCATGAGCAGAATCTATAGTAAAAATACAACTAAATATGAAGTAGGTATCTCAATAGTGATATAAATAGGTAGGTAGATAGGGAGGTAGGTACTTCGTTATTCTACGTTATATTCAATGTAATTACTAATTAGTAATTGTATATAAAGAAGTGTACACGCTGTACTTATATAATATATACAATATAATATACATGACATATGCTTTAGTCTTAACGAACCTAAATTGGTATTTAATATAATAAAGTAGTCAGGAGTCCACCTATAATTAACAACTGATTTTAAACAGATTTTTTAATTCGATGTTGGCATTTAAAAAAATTCTAAAGTTTATTGCATAAAAATATTTTTTAAGTTTTTTAAAAATGTATGCTTATAATTCAGAATAGTATTAAAATATTACTGGTAAAATAACTAATTTAAATATTTTATTGATTTGCCTCAAAGGTACAAAGGTTATATGTGACTTTTACGAAATAATACCTACTGCATTATACATATTATATATATTTAAATATATTGAACAATGAAAATGTCGATGATAAATTTGCCAAATTTAGTTTGTAAGTATTAAACTAATAATTATAATATAATATTAACTAAAATGATAAATAATATTAATATCTAATTTAAACTTAATAAAAATATTATTGAAAAAATATAGGTACTAATAAATATTGTTTTTACCTACTACATATACCTATAGTATATATGGTACAATGGCATTTGGATTTTGATAGTAATTGTCACTAGCACGTATTTTTGTTGAAGGATAATTATAGCACTAACAGATATCAAATTTAATCGACAGACATTAACTAGCATCTCTCTCTCTATATATTTGTGTTGGATTTGAAAAGACGAGTTTTCCAAAACAACCGGTTCCCAGTTTATATGCGACAATATATGAGTACCTACATCGAAAATAGGTAATGATCAACCAAGAAAACGATTTTATAAAGCGTGCTCAACTAAACCCATAAAGAAGTAGAAATCATGTACACACGATATATATATAATATATATATACTTATAATTATTATTATATCGCAGTTGATTAGATCTGTGTGTTTACTGTCAAGACGTGTTTGAAATATAATAATAACCAACTGCAGCGAGAACACGTGCTACAATTCTCCACGGTTATTATTGAGGAGAATTTTAAAAGTTTAACAGTATTAATTACTTCTT